GGCATCGTGGAAATACCCTTTATGAATTTGATACCTACCACAACTTTGATATTGTACCACATTTTCCAATTTTTGGCTAGTCTATAACGTTTTTTTTTTTTTAATTTCATTGACTACTGCAATTTATACTACATATAAATATAATATAATTATATAAGAAAATTGAGGTTATTGAAGCACAGTATTTCCTAACGGTGATTTTTTCAATGTTGTCCTAAATTGTGTAACATTATTTTAAATATTCCTTTTTTATTTATAAATTCACGGTCTTAATATTGAGCACTATACTATTTAATTCCTTATTATTATTGTCTCTCTTATTGTCGCGTCCCATGATTCAATAATAAAAGGATAATTATGAGATAATTATTGACAGCCGCGGTTTGATACTCTTTTACAAAAGAAAAGGTTGCACTTACGAAGGACAGAGAAAGAGGAAGAATGAAATCCCTTGGTGCGAAAATGGTAGTAGAAAAGTACGCAAAGTCGGCAATAGTAGTGAATTTCCTTTTGCGAATTCGAATGAATTTGTTATTATTTATACGTGAATTTTGTAAATTATTTCATTGGTTAATTGTGCTTTATTTGAATATAAAAATAAACATATTGCACAAAAAAGTATACTTTTATTTCACACGTACATAAGCTACTATTTTTTTTAATTTGCAAAGAAGCAACATAGTGCCACGGCTAAGGGAGCGGTGCGAGAGAGACAACTGTCAGTTTATCGAACCTTTAATTATTGAGTTATGAGTGCGCCCACCACTGTCGTATACTATACGATGCTGCAGTCACAATAGTGCTTCAGTACAAAATACCTTTAGTGTGGCTTAACAGTGGTAAATTAAAAACAAAAATAAAATTACAAATTTCTTTACTTCAGAGGTGTTATGATCATTAATATTACCTAATAACCACTCAGGGGACCTCTGACTTTTCAAATGACACCTCATTAGTGGAACTGCTTACATAGGAAAATAGAAAAAGGGAGACTAACAAAAAAACACCTTAGAGAAATAATATATATGATGATGATGATGATGATCGTTAGAACAAAGCAAACAATTCAATTTGGTATTACCACATCGTCATTGACTTGATGTTCGCTATTCGCGTGGTTTGTTTTGTGCAGTTACATGCTCGACAAGCATTTGAAACAAGCCGTCTTAGCCATCTTTTCCTTATGGCGCCTTTCTCTTGCATCTTTTGTGTCAGAAAGCTTCCGCTTCTTTGAAGTTTTAGGGGTAACTTCTTCTACAATTAAGTCACAAAAATCGTAGTCGGGATTTTGGTAAACTTCCGTATCGTTAGTGGAAAATGTTGCTGGGGGATTAATTTCTGGCCTCAACCAGAGAATTTAATGCATAACATCAAAGTACTCCCAATATTTTCGATTGTTTCCACTTGTATTGTTGTAGTCTCGGATTTTTTTTATACATGGCTTTTAAACCTTTAAATTTGCCATTACACTGTTCACTAGTTACAGTCTTACCACGGATTTCACTGATTTCCTGGGCAATAACATCCCAGACTTTCATTTTTTGAATAGTGTCGAATTTGTCCCGATGTTTGACGTACAGGTCAATAAGGCACCTAATATCCCCAGGAGTCCACTTGAATTACACAGTATTACCTGAAAAAAAGTTTTCGGTGCTTACTAATGTTTAATTTAATTTGCTAAGTGTTTTTTTTTCGCAAAAGAATTCGCAAAAACTTACTTGGTTTCTCTGTTGTACATATGAGCACAAACAGCTGATCAGCAGAATATTCTATGAATTCTGTGATAGAGACGGAATGAAAAGAAAGCGTTTAGAATATCCGGAATCATGATTCAATAATGAAAGGTTTTGTTAGAAAAACTTTCTCTCGCTCTAATTTTATCAATGACACTCCCACCCTACTCCTAAAAACAATGCAGGCTAAAGAGACGAAATTCCCTTAAATGCCGAAATGTATTTGTCGATCCTCGTGGAGACCTCTTGATTCTGCCAAGTCGCTGTAAAGTAAAGCGTGCAATGGTTTTGGTAAATGAGCCAACGAAGGTATTTAGGTATTGTCCTCCACAACACAATCCTG